ATTTTGAAAAATGTTTGAAAAACAATTTATTTATATATTTTTACATATTATTTCATAATTAGTTTTTTCTTTATTATAAATTATTTAATAATTAGTTTTTTTTCTTTATTATAAAATAATAGTGCTTATCCACTTTATCTTTTAAAGTTTTAAAAAAATATTATTCTAAAATTACGTCATTTTAATAAACACTTATTGAAAAAGATTAAAATATTTTATTTTTAAATTATGAATTAAGATATTTTTTTTGTTTTTTTCCTCCTAATTTTTTGGAGGTAAAACAAACAAACACTAATATCTTATTTTAATTATAATATTATATATATTAACTTATTTAATAATATATAAAAATTATATTAAAAAAATTATACAAATAATTATGCACGTATCACTATTCATAAGTTATTGTTGGATAAAAGGTATTTTATTTTTGGGTTTTACAATTAAGGATACTTTTTTAGTATTAATTACTATTGAAAAATAAAAACTAATATTTATTTAATTAACTGTCTTAGTAAAATAATTCATGTGATATAGATAATGAAATTAATGTCAACTTTTATTATTCTTAATACCAAATTAATGTTAAAAAAATCTATTAATAATACCCTTAACTTTTACTATATAATTAAAAAAATCCTTTATTTTTTCATACATGGGATAAAAGGGCAAGTTAAGCAGCGCCTTAGGCTTCATATTGGAAAAAGGAAAATTAATGCTTGTGATTTTTTTTTTTTTAAATGAGCTTACAATTTAGAGGTAAGAAATTCAAATCCAATATTTAGATTGAGAAATGCATCTTTCAAACTAACTTATTGTTATTAAGTCACAAATAAAAAGTACACTTATAATTTTATTTTATTTTATTTTATTTTATTTTATTTTTTCAAACAATTTGACATTTGGTGGAATCAAACCCGTTTCAAGGGTAAGATATGCTTGTGATTTTCGTTTCTAAGTTCATAAATCAAATGGATTGAATAAAAGCTGAAAGATCTTATATTTACTTTAAGAAAGGTGAAATCTCTCTATGATGTGGGGGTCGAGCTGTACTATCATGCATACTTCAACGTACTATTTTTTTTATTCTGTGCCCAGCAGAAGATA